TCTTGTGGGACAAACTGAGGTGAAAGCCAATGAGTAGTTTCCAGACTCCCAAAGCTGCAGGGTGCCTGAGCATTTCAGACAATTTAATGAATGAAGGTGGCTGTAAATAAAATAGAATAGCTGTAAATAGTAATTAAGTTTCAAATTTTTATTGTCTTCAAAACAGCTATACTGACAGATCAAATATATTTATGTTAATTCTTTATCTTTCTCAAATATTAGATCTCTTTTCAAAAATTCTATGTATTCGACTACTACAGAAAAAGTATTTAAAAATACAGCCGTCCTGGCGAGTTGGATGTCATGACAACCTATGAAGCCATCCACCACAGTGGTCGTTCAGAGATTGCTGTAACCCTGGGCATTGTGGTGACACCTGTAATTCTAGTTTTTAGAGGGCCGAGGCAGGAGGACTTCCAAGGTAGAGACTACCATGGGCAACTTGGTGAGACCTGGTCTCGCTAAGATACAATGAGGCTGGGGAAGTAGCTCCGTGGTAGAGCACATGCTTAGCTTGTGCAAGGTCTTATGTTCGGCTTCCAGTATTAAAATTATGTACATATATATGTTTCTATACTAGTTTTATATACTATCAGCTGACTGAGGCAGGGCTAGAGTATGTGTACAGTCAGGTCGCCTCTTAAGATACGCTGCAAGTGTAACATGCACACAGTGTTCAAGACATAGGACAAAAAAAGCATGTAAAATGCACATGAAAAGGTATGCCCAATATTTTGAACCTAAGGCGAGGGTACATGACATGAATTCTGCCTGTTTTCTTCTGCCTGTTTTCAACACGGCCTCTACAAAGCATACGTGTGTGAATTCATCAACCAGCACTGGACATGACTAGATTTTACAAAGATGCCCACTGCTGAGACAGTGTGGTGTAAACTTGAGTTATTCGGGAGAACACAGGACACTGATACGGGGTAAGCCAGGTACGTGTCCTGGCACTGTTAGGATCATCAGCTTTTGTGGAGTTCACTTCAGGGCTGCCGACTCAAATCCATGATAAGTCAGGCAGCCCGTCTTGTCCCAGTCCTCCCTGCTGGCCCTAAATCAAAGTAAGGAAATATTTACTAAGCACTTCATGTGCTGCTGCTCTATTTGTTTTGGAAGTGATTAAAAATGTAACACAGAGATAGAAGAAAGGTTTGTAGAGTGAGACTTGTTGAACCTTTAGAGTTATCTTAATCATTTGATTCTAGTTGGGGACATTACATAAAGAAGTTTTTATTCGTCTTCTGAGTGGGTGTGAGCGCTGTATAGAGCATTTGCCTGGCATGTGTAAGTCCCTGGGTTCCACCACCAGCACTGGAAAAATGTAGGTCTATTTTCTCTCTAAAAAGCCTTCTGGGATGTAACTTCCGTAGTTAATTCTATTTATCTTGTGTATCAACTCTGCTCCTTGCCTTGTAGGAAATCACAGGTCCAGGCTCACTATACCACTTCTCAGCAAAGTTCAGCTGTTCCAGCAGCGTGAGCTGCCTGCTTTCCCACCAGTGTGCCGTGGCTCATTCTTTGGTTGTTGAAGCTCCCGGTTGTCTCCTCTCTCTTCTTACCTGCGAAGTTCCGATGCTCGTATTTTACTGCAGCGCGAATGCAGCACCTCCTGTGCCGCCCTATGTATGGCTGTGTGTTTGTGAGAACACAGTGCCTCTCCTAAAGGCAGGCCTACCGGTGTCCCTGGTAGTCTTCAGGAGGAAAGATCATTTATTTACGAAATGTGGCACAGTCAGAAGCATGCTGCAGCTCACGATGAAATTAACTTCCTTTGCAAAGATAGTAGTGTTGACATATTTTTAATGCCAACCCTTGAGACACTTCCTTTTAGCAACTCTGATGTATTTTATATATCATCATTAATGCCTTTACAGATGTGTGTACACCCCTTGGGTGATTGTCCACAGAAAACAAGAATGCGGAAAAATGAACTGTGGACAAGTTTTACCACCTTAACCATACTGTTGGAAAATTATCTAAAGTTTAATAAGGTAAACTTCTATCTATTGGCAGCTTGTTTGGTGATTTAAAGAAGCTTGAAGGTGTATGTATGACACACATTTTTACTTTTTCTTGGTAATGTCAGTAAGTTAGGGTGAGAAATCAGTGAGCTACCAGAACCAGCGGCCTCCATGCGTAGAAAGAGGACTCCCCATCCACAGCAGAGCAGTAGCGCATGGTACCAGGTGTGCGCTGTGCTCCTAGGGTTTCCTTAAAGAGAATTCTATCCGGTGAATAACTCACCTCAAGTTCTGTCTACAGCTGGCTGGCTTTCTCCCCTTAAACAGAGAGGCCTTTCCTTAGACTTGTTTTGTAGTGGATAAACCCACCAGGTAACTCAGGCGATGTCCAGCTTTAGTCCACACACAGGGGGAGCTTTCTGCCTGCAGGACTCTCCTCAGCCGAGAGGCAGGGCATAAATCAAGCCTCGAAGTTCAGAGAAGGGAGCTTCATCTGTCTGCTGTGGTTTGGAACAGAGCCTGCCCCCACCCCCTGGCCAGGGCACAAATGAGCATTCGTTCACAGCCTGTGGATGGCCACTTGGGGAAGTAGCCTCTGGGCAGCAGTAAGCAGGAATTCTGAACTAAAGTGTATGTCCATTTTCACACAGCTCTCAGGAATGCAGTGCTTGTTCAGAATGAGTGGTTATACCTAATTTTTTAAACCTAATGAACTATTTTCAACTTAGATATTTTAAAGATTAAAAAGAATTTCAGGGCGCCTGCCCCTTAGCTCAGTTCTTTAAGTGGCTGCTTCAACAAAGCAGTCAGGCTCAGGTTGCTGTGGTTCGATCCCCACAACTCAAGCCAGCCAAACCTACCCTGAAGGCAGTCTGAGCCAAAAAAAAAAAAAAAAAGAATTTCAATTTATACTAGTTTGTTTCCTATTTAGTATTTCCAATTTAATATTTCTGAGATCTGTGTGTCAATACTGTTTGTAAAATAAATGGGAAAACTTCCACGTTGTACTATGGAGATGCTTCGCTGGTGCGGATGTGTTTGTGTCTGCTGTGTTTATCTCAAGCCAGAGTCTTTCTAACGAGAGCCCTCTCTCAACACGCCACTCCTGGCCCTCACACCCTGGCCTTCGTGTCGCCAGATGTCTCCTACCCCCACCTGGCAGCCTCTGTCTGTGTTCAGGGATCCCCTCCCCTGAACAGTGGGGTCCAAGATTCCTAGCATGAATGTGATCTTCTACGATGAAGTCCTTTCTTCTAAGCCTTTCTTTCTGTACAGCTCTTTAGATAGCCTACTCCTGGTCAGGCCAGACCCCCTGCTCATCTTTTCTGCTATAGTACAGGCTAGAAATACTGTGTCTTCTCTAGCGTGGTGTGTCTTCCAAGGATCATCTCAGACATGACCCACTGCCTGAAGCTTTGCCTGGTCTCCCCAGCCTGCATGACCAGCACCTAATCATGAGGTAGCTACATTAAAGGGTCTAAGAAAAAATGCACCTTCCACATCTCATAAATATATACAGTGCTAAATAAAAAAAAAAAAAAGTCCCAACACTTAAAAGCATAAAGTTTGATTTGTGGAACTAATAGGATGTGGGTTTGTTCACACAAAAATCATTCTGGCTGTCTCTGCAGGTTTGATTCGGACTGCCGAGCCTTTCAGATGAAGCCCTGCGTATTCAGCCACACTGCACACTGGAACTGCCTGGGAAGTGCTCCCAACACCTGGGTCCAGACCCAAGTGTTCAGAGCTAAGTGATCTGGGATGTGGCCGGGCGTCGGCTTGCCATGTGTCCCAGGGGATCCCACTGTACAGCTCAGGCTGAGGACCCCTGTACTAGGGATTCTCAAGCAGGACAGTTTCTCCAAATAAACTTAGAAAGGGAGAGGAAAGTAAAGGTTGACACTCCCCTTCAGAAAAAAAAAAAAAAAAGAAAAATCATGGTTTGAAATTCTACCTGCCAAATCAGAAAATTTTAGAGTTGAGTCTTGCTGTCTGCCACAATGTACTTGAAAAATATAGAAGAAGTCCTTTTAATGTCAATGTGGGATGGAAACTATATTAAATATAAACAAGGAAATCATTTTAGAAAATCACATGACCTTGAAACTTGTTTTTTTTCAATTGCCAATATATAGAGAGAATGCTTTTAAGGTAATTAACAATGTCTTCTACAAGAATGCTGAAAAGATCTGGGGTTGGAGGGAATTTAAATTGGCATCTTCAGGTAGATTTTCAGGCAGCTGGAAATGCAGGACTCTCTGGTATTGGGTATTCAGGCGACAGCTAACATTTTAACCAAGAATGGTTTCCTATGCATTAGAAGAATTTGAATACTTGCATTTAAGGATTTAACAGCCTAATAACTTCTACACTTGATGCAGAATTGAGTGGCTGCACGTAGATCATTTCCTGATCTACAGCAGCTCTCAGTATGTCTAGGTTCATTCAGAAAAAGGTTACAGGGAAGTCCAGGCTTTGTGGAGCGTGGCACTGCTGCCCTCCTGTGGACGATCGGGGCATTGGACAATCCCTCCTCACTTTCAAACTGTCATCAGAGGTTCATCAGAAGCCATTTCTGATTTCATTTTGGCTTCAATGTAAAACTAGCCCTCTTTTGCTACTTTTGTGAAATTAACATTTTTTTTAAAAAAGAGCTAAACTCTTAACCTTGATGTTTAAATATGGGGGAAACGTTGTTGTCCCCGGCAGCACCTGCCTCTGCTTCCAGCACTCGGGTGGGCTGAGGCGATTCCAACCCAGCATGGGAAATGTAGCCGCTTGGGGATAACCTGTCTCAAAATAAAAGATTAAAAAGGGCTTAAGGGGCTGCTTGAGGGGCTGGGGAGATAGCTCAGTCGGATAAGCGCTTGCCTGGCAAGGGCAAGGGCCTCGGCCTGAGTTCAATCCCCAGAGGGGGGCTTGAGGTGTGCGACTCGACTCAATGCAGAGACCCTGGGTTGAGTTCATGCCCAAATACCAAGAAAAATAAAATAAAAGCAGGGAAGACTGACTTTCCTTCCGTCTCACTTGCAGCCAGCAGACCGAAACAACTGATAAAAAGAAGGATCCCCCCAGCGCCCTGCCCCCCTGGCTTCGGGACCTGAGGGCGAAGATCCTGAGAAAGCCTGCGGAGAGGTAGTAAAGCTCGTGGTAGAAGCTGCTTCAGTGATGTCTCTACCTCTCTTACGTCGCTGTTTGAAACTGTACTCCAGTACTACGGTGTCACCGTGGCAAGCTCTGGGCCAGATTCCTGGAAACAAGCGCCCCGGGCTCCCGCGCTTGGGCCTGTGACTTCCCCAAGAACCCGGGACTGAGGCTCGGATGAGTGCTTCCGCACCGGACCAGGACAGCGCTGTCATCCCGTTTCCACCCAATTCCAACTCCCAGCTCCACCTCAAAGGCTCCTGGGGAAAGCACTGTTCAGATCCGTCCCAGAAGTGGATCCCACGGCACCGTGCTTTGCAAATGCTGGTGTCCACGTGAAGCACACTGTAACTGTTAAAAAGCGGGCGCAGACTCACTCGGTCTGGGGCAGGGGGTGGGGCAGCATTGTACCTGCGTTTCTACTGCATTTCCAGTATTGCTATGTCATGATCTCCAAAGGAAGCCAAATCCCAATAGGTGACACGAGACAGCAAAAGGGTTTTGCAGGTTCCGGTATAGCTTGTGGAATGGGGAGATGGTCCCGGTAAGAAACCGTATGCAACCCCAAGGTTGCTTAGAAAGAACAAAGGGAGATCCTATAGGACAGAGGTGACCTGAGAATGTGACAGTGCAGCCCTGAAGAAGGAGGCATGGTGCAGCCCCAAGAATGAAGCTCTGGGGCCAGTCAGGTAGCTGAACGATGAAAGCGCCTGCTTAGGCAGATGCAGGGACCGGGTTCGATCTCTGGCATGCCGTGCCGGCCCCGGCTCCAGGGCATGCTAAAACCAGGATTGAGATTGGTCATGGTGGTGCACGCCTGTAATCCCAGCACTTGGAAGGCTGAAAACAGGAGGATCATGAGTCTGATCTATGTAGTGAGACCTTGTAGACCCTGTACTAGATACCCTAAAAAAACCCAAAACTCTAGGTGCTGAGGAAGGGAATTCACTCTATGACTCCTGCATACTTTTGAGGGGCCAGCAATTTCAACCCAGTAAAAATGATGGGGCTTGTGTTTGTGTGGGTGTGTGTGTGAAGACAACAGGCTTCTACTTTGTCACAGTGGCCACAGGAAACGAGTACACCACTAGTTAATAAATCCTCGGGCTACCCTCTGTGTAGTAAAATTCAGTAACAAAAGATTCCCACAGGGACCAGGAAGAAGTGACCCTCAACCCTAACTGTATGTTAGAATCACTGGGGAAATTTTATAAAGCAAAAGCAGCGTCCAGGCCCATTGAGACCAGCCAAACCAGATCTGATAGGGATGGGACCCAAGGGGCCCTCGCCGGAAGGCTTTATGGGTACAGGAAGCTCCAGTGCTGCACTACTGTATTAGCCCAAAGCAGAATTTTCTTGGGTTCAAGGGAAACTCATAGCTCACCCAAAGTCCAGGCATACTAGTGTGCTAAGTAATCCTACAGTTACACACCAGCTCCCCAAATGAAGATCTGGGCTAGCATCTTCTATAAAGAACACCAAGGTCTTGCCTTTTGCTGCCCGAAACCAAAGATCTGACTCCTGTTTCGGAAGGACTCATTGGTGTTCGCTTCCACAGAGGCAAGGCAGCCGCCAGATGAGCCGTGAGGAGCACAGGGGCTCCTCCTCACTTCTAACTTTGCAGACAGAACAACGGCATAATTCTATGGAAAAGAGAACTCAAACCTGTGTGTGTGCTTTTTAATGCCAAATTCAATCATCTAGTACTTGTTTAAGGCATAAAATCAGGGCCACAGGAGGGGCAGTCATGTTTCAGTTGTACATGAATACAAATAGTTTGGCACTGGTGACACAGCAAGTGTATCCAAAATAGGTTAACATGTGGCTAACAGAGCAGGCCCAAAGCTGCCACACTTCAGTTGCTGCTGTAGCTACTTCAACAGAGAAGCACATAAAACAGTATCATTTAGTTCCTTAGCTATTCTCACCGCCACATCCTGGGGATTAGAACATGGACTCTTCAATCAGCAGCCTGAAATAGTTCTGCAGCTGCAGGATGCATCACATTCACTGGGAAATCTTCCCAACAAATGCTTCATTCGCCTTCCACCCCCAGCCCACCGGGCAGGGCAGCCATCTGGGGAGACTGGTGGGATGTGGGCTTCAAAGAAGCTTCTCGGCGGCTGATCTGCCATCACTTGGTGTCCAGTGATCATGGGGTGAGGAGTCCCTGTCCTGCAGGCAGCTAGGAGCCACGCACAGCATCTGGAAAAGCCCAGGGCAGGGCCACCATCTTCCTTCCCGAGGAGTCCCCCAGCTGTACCTCCCGAGAAGGCAGATCTGGCTCATCTCTGAATAGCTTTACAAAGCTGGTGCACCCTGTCTTCCAGAGTTGATATAAACTAACAGCCAAAAGTAGAACTCCATCTGTTATAAAGCAACTGAAATTAGTGCTGCTCCCTGCTGGACCACGTGACAGTGCTGTTAAGTGCAAGTTTTCTGGAACCTTCTGAAGAGGCGCTGTGTCCACAGCTCTCTGGGAACCAAGGGCGGTTACCAGCTCCCTCAGCCTACAGTGCTTTTCTCTTCTCTCCTCTCTCCTCTCACCCTCCCAGCTCACAGAGTCTCATTCTTGTCTTCATGAACTTCAATTTTAATGTCTGCTGGGACCACCATTAAATCTCTTACAAGGCGGGCAGGATCTGCACAGTGAGTTAGTTTTCAGCACCACTTCTCATCATAGAATTAGGAATGGAAAATAACATGAAAAACACAGCCATGATAAATGGAATGTATGTTATTTATTAAAATCAAGACACAGGAACAGACTCTTCTGAACAAAGATAACGGATCTGCACAGTCTTGCAGCAGTGGTACATTTCAGAAGATGCAGCTGAGAACATCAGACAAACTCTAATGGCTGTTTTTGATCCATTACATTATTTCTTGCCTCTGCACAACCTGAGCACAGTTTAAGGAGTGTGGGGGCACTTCCCACCGTCTGCCCATCCGTCCTCCAGGAAACCGCGGCCGCCGCTGCCAGACGCACACGAGGCTCCGCAGGTGCTGCTGCTTTTCCCCCTACATCATAACCGATTTCAAATGGTGCTAGACAAAAACAGACTCTGAACACCAGGAGAAATCGGTCAGCCTGTGTAAGAGATGAGCCGGTGGCAGCTGCGGCGGGCGGGCAGGCGGGCACTCCTCCGGTCGGCACCTAGCGCAGAAGGCCGGTCTGTGAGCCAGCAGCAGGGCGGCCTCCCTCTGCGCAGGGGCCAGCACTCCTAGTGCACAGCTCTCTCCCCTCCTGGCACAATCCGCCCTCCACGGGGCACATCCAGCATTACGCTCAGTACCATCGCCATCTCCAGCCAGTCAGTGGGAGGAGAGCGGAAAGCCTCTGCCGCATCAGGCCCCTGTGTGCTGTATTTACACACAAACCTCTCCTTCTGCTGCCCTCTGCCCCTCCCAAGCCCTGTGTATCCAAGAGTCCGGTTTGCCTTTCAAGCCTTCCTTCCTTGGAGGGCTTCCTGAAGCAACGCCTGGAAGTCTTTCTCATGCCGTGCTGCAATTCTTACTCCTAAAACACTGATTTCAAATGGTGCTAGATACAAAGATCGAAAAATCTAAGCCACCATGTGAAACCAGCTTCCAGAAGAAGAGGGTCTCTCTGAAGAAAGCGCAGAACTTCCATGGGAAGACTCGGCCTCCATCCTGAAGGGAAATACCTTCTTGGGATTCTATTTGTGGAATTACAGAACAACCTGCTGGAAAGACACAGGAGAGCTACGCAGCGCTGTTGCTAGGCGCGCGGCTGACGCTACACGCGCAAGTGGTACAAAGCTCAGCAATTCTGCTGAATTTCCCAGCCTGTCACTATAAAGCATTACACAGGATAAAATGAAAGCGCCAATGTCATTATGAAAGTACACGAATGTTTCTACTCATACTGTCCCAGGTAGTATGAGTAGAGGTAGAGGTGGTCCCGATCCAGGAGGCCACTGCTGCAGGAGCAAGCTGCCTGCCGGCCTGTGTGGTCTGCACACACAGAGGCCTGCACGGTCTTCTGCAGGCCCTGCTCCAATGCGCCTCCTCCCACATCCTTCTTAGCATCCACATGTAGCTCTATTAGCCAGGAATCTGAGTTAACCTGTGGTGTAACTTTAAAAAGCTGCCATCCATATCGGTACGTAAGGTAGAGAATCTGCTAACATAAATACTGCACTTGGTCTTCGTTTGCCTGAAAATATAATTTGCAGACTGCGTTGCAATTCATTTCCTCTTTCACATCTTTGGAGGTTACAAAAATGTCTTTTCTGTGATGTCATAACTCAGAAAAAGTGGAAACAAGGGGCCTGCCCTTAGCTCAGTTGTTTAAGTGCCTGCTCATGCAAAGGAAGTCAGGAGCAGGATACCGCAGTTCAATCCCCAGCTAGACCTGCCATTCAGGCAGCCCAACCCACGGGAAAAAAAAAGACAGTGGAAACAGTAGCAGCTGCCTATTTTAGGACCCTGAACCTCAGCCCAAGGCCTCTGAACACAGCTTTACCTGTTTAATGGCTCCTTTATGACAACAACAGTATGTGCTGCTACAGGTAAAGGAGGAAACAGACTTGGAACAAAAGTTGTGCTACCTAATTCTCACAGTTCTAAGAAGATATCCTACCAACTTCAACAGGAAAAAACTGATCTTCAGTAAGTACAAAAAAAAACCCCAACCCTGTCCATGGTCACATAATTCATTAATAAAACAGCTCCCAGGACTAAGTCCCAAGTCCATGTACCTTCCTGCCTGCCACAGTTGCCAGCTCCTTGTCTTGACTTTTGCTTCATTTTCCTCTCGAACTTAACTGAAGCAGGACTTGCATGTGGGGGGAAGCGAGGTGATGCATACTGCACGTAACACACTGCGCCTGGGATCTGGGCTCGGCCGCCCAGGGCTCTCCCTCAGCATGGGGAAGGTGAGGTGCTGCTGTTGGACGCTCCCTAGCAACTCCCACACCAGCAGCAGGGGCTGCAGCCCACAGGGAATGTGCCACAGCCTTGGCACAGACGGGAGAGCAGGGGCCAGTCTGCACAGCAGTGCTTAGTGATGACATCTCTAACCAACCTGGGGCCTGGGGAACCAGGTGACAAGGTGGGTTTTAAGGTCACAAGCCAGTGTTACATGATAGTGATCACTAAATGCATAATCTTGTGAAGGGGGGGGTGATTTAAGGTGGATAATTCTCAGCTTCTCTGCTTTTTGTTTTAGCCAAAATATTCAGTTGCCATTATCTGCCACCATCCACAAACCCCTTCCTGGGAGCTGCTATGCAGGGTCCTGAAGGGCTCCAGAACCCCCACCCCCTGCCTGTGCTGTGAAGATCCCCCCCCAGCTGTCACTCCAGCCACCCTTCCTGTCTCAGCCTCCCAAGCCACCCAGCTTGCCAGCGGACTGAGTCCTTCTCCCCTGCAGAAGGAGCTCTCCGGTCTGCTCTTGTGTGGCGCTGAATCAGTGTTTCTCCTATTAACCAGAAAGCAGTGCCCCAGGTTCCAGCAGAGCTGCCGTGCCTAGCAAGGAGCCACTGCCACTGAGGGCCCAGAAGGCAGGGGCCAGAGTCTGGGATCCTCATCCTTGGAATCCACAGCCTCACTCTCAGGTCTATGGAGGAAGAGACATGAAACCATTTAACAAAGAGGGGGAAAGGAACCTTAGTACGCGAATCAAATGCAAGGCCCACCCATGTCTCAACTCTTCTAGCAAAATTAAGGTTCTCCTCCCCGTCACACGGGGAGGAGTTGGTTCTCAGCTAGTGGGAAGCAGCCAGATGTGAC